GTAGCCCTGTGAGCTTGGGCGGGTCACGGCCTCCTGGGCAGCCTGCCACGAGCAGGCCCTCCCTGGGCTGCCTGGGCCCAGCCCCCAGGTGGGTCCTGAAAGAGCACAGACACCCTCCACCTGGTGCTCTCTGACCTCTAACGTCACCAGGCTGGGGCAGGGCGGGACGGGCATAGATAGGCTGGTCTCAGTCCCAGGAGACTGAAAAAGGGCACAGGGGACAGAAGCTTGGAAGAGGCCGTTTCAGAGTGAGTAACAGGACGTCTACGCAGCTGCCTCTTCTAACAGCAGCAAACTGAGTCACGCCAGCCCTGCAGTGCCTAAAGGGGTTCCTGTTCCAGGGGGAAAAGCAAGCCCCACCCCCGCTCCGTGTTGGTTGGAGTTTCTGTAATTTGTAGATCATATGCTCCTTACCTCAAGTTGAAATATATAAATACACTCCAAGGTCTTACCTGGCCACTTAGGGATTTCCAGACAAATGGGACTCCTTAGATACAGGATACACTCCACGTCTCCATTTCAAATAACTAAAATTTGGAAGTGTTTAATGTGGAAATTTAGAAATACAATAAAAGATAAAGCACTGAAAATTTTAAAATCACTCAGTCCCCCAACCCAGAAATAACTCAGATTAACGTGTTTGTGTTTTCTCTCAGCGTTTTTCCTGTAATTTTTAAATGAAGTTGAGCTCACAGCTTGTAGTTTTTTTTTGTGTTGCTTTGTGTTGAAGTTCTATACAGGCACACATCATCTCATGTCCTGGATTTTTGCTTAAGATTATACCAGAAACGTTTCCTATGTCACTAAATTCTTCATAAGCATCATTTTTAGTGGCTGTGTCATATTCTGTCAGAGGAGCATTCCAGCCATTCCTCACTGCTGGCCACTGAGGGGGTGGCCTGCGGTTCACTCTTCTGCATGTTGCAATAACATCTTTGTGCAGAACTATTTATACCTAGTTCGCTTCAACAGAGCAACATATACACATGCAGCCTCCCCTTGTACCAGGTCATCCTGGCAGGGACTGAGCCGGGAGCATGTCCCCCGGCCCTTTGACAAGCGGCTGCCTGCAGTGCCCACAGTGTCCTGTGGCTGCATAGTGGTTCTGTGGCCCGTGAAAGTAGGCTGCAAATGCAGTTATCAACAAGGCCAATGTAGCAACTCTGTTTCCTTTTGCTTTTTGATAAGAACACTTGACCTAAGATGAACCCTCTTAAGCAAACTGGTAAGTTTTCGCAACTGTTCCCTTCCTCCTGGACCGGCCCTCCTCCCTCCTTCCTAATGATCTTCCTTTTACTCTGCTCTGGTCAGGGACATCAAAGCACCTACATCCCACAACTGTGTCGAAAAGAAGACGAAATAGACTCTGAGTGGGCCTGAGAGGTGCTGGAGGGGAGTGGGGGGCTGCCTGCCCCAGAGCCTCGTCTCCTGAGATAACTGTTCTGCTCTGCCTGTCAGAGCCCGGTGGTGTGAGGGAGATGGCTTTGCTGTCATCTGGGCCACACCTTCCCCACAGCAGCCCCGGGTGGGAGGCAGCGCCACCCACAGCTGAGGGAAGGCGGCTGCAGGCCACGGGAAGCCAGTGGAGCTGTTCGCTCCCGCTGCCCCGATTAGGGCAGGCACCTCACAAGAGCTGCATGTAAGCCCCTGGAGGACAGGCCACAGCACCTCGGGCCAGGCGCACGGCCAGCACTCAGGGTGCCCAGAGCCACTACAATGCCCTCTTGGACCAGGGCCCCCCCAGACCAGGGCCCTCCTGTGCTGGGCCCTCGCCCAGCTCCACCCTCGCTCTCCGCCCACCCCACCCCCAGCCCCTGCCTGGCCTCTGGTGAGACACACCACCTCAGGACACCCCTCACCTCCCCACTCCCCTCCTCCACCATCTCCACCACAGAGAGGGGAGGCCACTGGACAGGAGCCCCTTGACGTCCCTTCCTGCAACCTGCAGATGACTCTGCTGCCCCTTCCCTCCCTCCAGCTGGGGCCCCCCGTCCTGCTCAGGACCACGCGAGGCCCAGGCCAGAAGCCCCTAGACCCCTCAGTCCACCTCTCTGCTGCGTCACCACACCTCTTCTCCCCTCAGCCCAGAAAACAGTGAATCCTGCATCCCCTTCGGCCCTGCCCCGCGTCCCACCCCCCACTGCCCACATGCTGCTGGCACTGCCTTCCCTCCGTCCCCTCCTCAGGGCTCCTCAGTCCCCGTCCCCCCCACGCCAGGTGCTCTGCTGGTGGCTCCATGGCTTGGGACCATGCACCCCCACCCCACCTGCCAACCTCCCCTGTCTCTCTGGGCTATTCCCTGGATGCCCCCATCTCTATAACAGTGTGCCCTCACCTCTATGACAGTGTGCCCCCACCTCTATGACAGTGTGCCCCCACCTCTATGACAGTGTGCCCCCACCTCTGACAGTGCACCTCCACCTCTATGACAGTATGCCCCCACCTCTATGACAGTGAGCCCCCACCTCTATGACAGTGTGCCCCCACCTCTATGACAGTGCGCCCCCACCTCTATGACAGTGCGCCCCCACCTCTATGACAGTGTGCCCCCACCTCTGACAGTGCACCTCCACCTCTATGACAGTACGCCCCCACCTCTATGACAGTGCGCTGCCACCTCTATGACAGTGCGCCTCCACTTCTCTCACTCCTCTGCCCTCTCCCAGCTGACCATCCACTACAGCAAGGACCACCCATCACCATCTCCTCCACCCAGGCACCCACTCTCCCCAGGGGGTTCACGCCCGACACAGTTCCTCTGTGCTCCCAGATCCCCATCTCCAGGCCAGAATCCAGACCCCATGAAGCCCACTGTCTCCACCTGGGGGTCCCTAAGGCCTCCAACTCCACCTGCCCCCCACCGGACTTAGCTTGCCATCTGCCCCACCTGGGCGTCCTCCTGATTCCCCTCCCACGCCACACGCACCACCCACCCACTGGTGTCCCAGCCGAGTTGTCTTCCATTCAAGCCCCTTTACACCTACTCTGTCAGAGCCATCGTCATGCCCTCTGACTGGCCTCCAGGCCCTCAGCAGCCCCTCTTCAGGCCCCCAAATCTGCCCTGACTCCCAGTGCCTGCTGAAGACAGCCCGTGCTCCCCAGGCCAGCTCAGGTCTCTCAGGCCCCACACACCAGCTACACCAGGTTACCAATTATTTCTCAAAGCATCACCATGTCACACACACCCACATTTGCTCCTGCCGGCACCCAACCAGCTGTCTGTCCTCAGGACTTGACGCCCAGCCTAACATCTCCTCTCCCTGTGTCCACACACTTGTCAAACCAGGTAGCATCAAGCTCCTTCCATGGTGTCATGTCATGAGGCAAAACGTGTGTCTGCCCCACAGGGCTGGGAGCTCCCTTGAAGGCCCATCAGATCTGTGCCTGGCGGGATAGTGATGGTGGCAGAATCGTGCCACCACTGAGCTCTCGCTGTGGGGCAGCTATGCCCCAGACCCAGTGTTCACTTTCTCTGTAGCTTCACTTACACTTGAGAAACTGGGCTTCAGAGGACTTGGGGAATTTGTCCCAGGATTCCCGCAGCCCCTGCCCCTAACACACAACTGGAGAATTACAGTCATCCCCGGGCAGGCCCTCTGGCCCTCATCCTCACATTTTCTCTCTCCTGCTGCCCACCCCATCCAGCCCTCCAGCTCTGCAGCCCCAGCTGGTCTCTGAACAGATGTGTGCCCTTCTACCACAGCGGGACCCCTCTCTGGCTCACAGTCTGGTCCCACAGAGGTCCTCGGAGCAGGGCTGGCCCAGTCTCCCTGCTGACCACCTCCATCACAGAGATAAGGCCTGGGACCTGTGGGGGCAGCAGGCGCAGGGAGAGGGGAGCTGAATGAACTGCACTGCACACCAAACAGCTTCTTTCTCTTTGGGTGCCCCCTGCAGCTCACACCTGGGGGCCCCAGCTCCTCTCCACACATCCCGTCCCTGGCCCAGGCCTGGGTCAGTCACAGCCCTGGCACCAGGGCAGTTGGGACCCCCCACTCTCAGTTGCGATGTGAAGTGAGGATGGTAATGGTGCCCCTCTCAGGGTTTGTTGGGAGGGTTTAAGTTAATATAAGGGCTTAGGATAATGCCTGGCACACAGTGAACGCTACATCATGTCTGCGGTCATTACTTTACACCATCTCCAGGGCCTGGGGCCCCTCCACCTGCCCACATGCCTTCCACTTGCCCTATGAGCTCGTTCCTCACCCAGATCCCCAGCCCAGACCTCCCTCCTAGACTCCAGCAACCCCGCATCCCCCCGCCCCCTAACCCCATCCCGGCACCTCCACCCAGACATCCTCACAGCCCCGTAGGCTCCACATGTCCTTCCTCCCCAAGCCTGCCGGTCCTGCTGTGTCCCTCACTCAGAAGATGAAATGACCTCCTGCCTGGTCACCCAGGCCAGAAACCCAGGGGCATCCTTCACGCCTCCTTCCCCAGGTGCCTGCCCCCCACCATCTGGGCCATCAGTCTGGACTGTGCCCAACCCCCCACCTGGCAGCTGCCCTGCCTGACCAGCCTCCATCAGCAGCTCAGTGGTCACATGCTGGGCTCTGGTGTCCAGTGCACGTCTGTCCACCACTCACTGGCTGAGGGGACTCGGGCAAGTCACGCCACCTCTCCGAGCCTCATTTCCCAGATGATAAAATGTAGATAACAATAGTGCCTTCCTTGCTGGCTTGTTTTGAGGATTAGATGAGTAAAATACACAAAGATCTGAAGTCCTTTGTGAGTGTTACTGTTGTTCACATGCTCTCACTCGGAGACTCCACCACTCCTAAACCTGGTCCCTGCCTCTGCCTTGCGCACAGCACACCTGGCACACGCTTCATGAAGGTACCAGTTAGGGAGCGTTCCCCGTGGGCAGGATACCACGTGCAGGCCCTCAGCTACCATCCCCACCCTTCCAAAAGGCTGGTGCCATTACACATGAGAAAACCAAGGTCCAGCTAGAGTTAACCTCCGCCTCAGGGTGCACTGTTGGCATTTGTGTATGGATTCAAAACATTTATTGAGCACCTAGTGTATGCCAGGCACTAAGCTGGGTGCTGGGAAAACAGTAATAAACCAGAGTAGCACAGACTGGCCCATAAGATCTTTCTAGAACACAAATCTAACCCTAGAGTCCTCCAGTGACCACCCACTTCCCTCAGGATCCAGTCCATATACCTTAGCAGGGCACCTTAGATCCTCAGGAGCCCCCTCACTACCCTCTGCAGCGCACACCGCTCCTCCCCTCTGCCCACCTCTCCCACCTCCCCTCCACTCTGCTCCAGCACATGGCCTGGCAGGGCCTCCCACCCCATCATATGCCATTTACTTTCTCCTCCTCAGCTTTGCCCCCAGTGCCAGCTCCTTTCCTGCCCTATCTCTCAATTTCTTTGCCTGGTAAACTTCTACTCCTCTTTTGATGCTCCACCTACAGTCACCTCCTCCAGGAAGCCTTTCTTCTTCATCCTCCCAGCCTGTGATGAGCTCCCAGGCCCCGTGTCTTGCAGCCACACTGGCTCTTTACTGAACTGTCTCTCATCCTGGGCTGTGGCTCCTTAAGGGAAGGCCTGGGGTCTTATTCAACTCAATAAATCTTCCCTCTCCTCTGTCCCCTCCACGTCCCATCCCGTCATCACCAAGTCTACCCTGTTTGCCTCTTCCTGCCACAGCCCCAGCGTGGCGGCCCCCCGCCAGCCCCACGCGGCCACGCCGGGGGGCTCACTGAGACGTCACTGCTGCTGCAGCTCTGTAAGCATGGGGTGGAGTGAGATGGAGGAACCAGTGAGTGAGTGCAGGTCCTGAGCGCAGCTGCTGTGACTCCACACAAGGGGCCAGGGGTGCTGGGAGTCCCCAGGTCCCCTCTCCCAGTCCCTTGGCCTCTCAAGGGTGGGTGGGCAGCGGTCCTGGGAAGAGATGATCAGAGCTGGAGTCGACTGCGTGGGCCCCACGCCCTGGCTGTGCAGCCGCTCTGTGCCTCAGTTTCCTCACCTGAAATTCCATGCTACCAGCCTGTGCCCGCCTGCCCCGCAGGGCCGTCATGGGCGGACCGGGGAGGGACGGTGGATGGGCTGCCTTCCCTGAGGGCGGTGGCTTCCCGGGACTCCCCACTCGGGCGTCGAGTAAATGTGGTCTCAGGCCTTCTCTGGGGGCCCGGACCCGCCTCCGCGCTTCCCAGGGGTCAGGGCACGGGCCGGGGTCTCCTTTCTGGAGAGGCCTGAGCGGCGAAGCCCGCGGCCGGTCCAGGGCCGCACCTGCCCGCCGGGGTGCTGGGTCGGGCACTTCCTCGCCGGCCTCGGTCTCCCCTCCGGAAGGCCGGGCGGGACTCCCGCCTGGGAGGCCGTCGCGGACCAAGCCACATGGCGGGTGGGAAGGCGTCCCGGCCCATGGCGGGAGGCGTCGGGGCGGGGGCCGCGGCCGGGGCTGGGGCCGGGGCGGGGGCCTCCCCACCCGCGGGCCCGGGGAACATGGCCGCTCGCAAAATGGCCGCCACGGCGCCGAGGCCCTTCCCGTCCCCGGACGCCCCGTGGGAGAGGCCGGGCTCCGCGGCCAGGCCCCGGGCAGCCCCGCGGCCCAGGGGTGCCGGTGGGGCGGGCGGCGGGGAGGAGGGAGCCGGGCGGGCGGGGGCCCGGGAGGGGAACAAAAGGCCCCTTTGTGGAGCGAGGCAGGGAGAAGAGGGCGCGCATTACCCAATGCCCGGGAGCCATGTTGGTAACAAGAGAACCATTCTCTGCCTCCTTGGAAAACAACTCGGAGCGCAGAGGGGCAGGGAGAGACTTAACCCCATGGGCGCGGGGCGGTGAGGGCGCGCTCGCGGGTCCGGGGCCCCGAGCAGGGCGGCTTCCGGTCTCCAGGCCCGCCCGGCGGAGCCGAAGCCCCAACATGGCCGCCTGGCCAGGCCCCGGGCCCTTCGGGGCGCAGGACTGGGCGCATGGCCTCTGCTGCGGGGGCCTGCTCACACGTGCAGCCCCGGCTGCGATCTCCAGGCCTCCCTCACCGCAGCCTCGAGCGGAGCCCCTTGAATCCTTCCATCTCATGGCCTCGGGGCCTAGGCTGCTGCCCACGGCCACCCAGGCGCCTCGGGGGTCCTTTTGCCCCCAGGGGACACATTTCCCCCTGAGGAAGCCCCTGCCGTCTTTGCACAGTCTTGTCTGTTGGAAAGTTTATCGTAAAATTTAATTAAATTTCTTTCATCCCCACCCAGCTGACTCCCCTCCCCCGCCTTCTAACCACCGGCCCGAGCGACCAGGCAAATGACCGCAGAAGCGGACCGAACGGCACCGCAAGAAGGGCTCCTCACGGACCCTCCCTCAGTGCCCATCCGACCCGGGGCCAGCCTGGCTCCCGCCAGCTGCTCTCCCCGCTGCTGACCTATCAAGGGACCACGTGAGAGGCACTGCATGAATAAGCAGGGGAAAGTGGTCCTTGCTGCCTTGCCTCCCCCCTTCCTTCCTTCTTCCTTCCACAAATAGGGTTCAGCTCTGGCCGCGTGCCCAGCACTGGCCCGGCTCTGTGGCTCCAGCAGTGGGCAAACAGACCACTCCTGCCCTCATGGAGTGGATGTTCTTGTCACGGAGACGGGCCATAGAAAAGTAAATATACAAGCTTATGGCAGGTGGCCCCACGCTCTATGATGACCAAGGGGCAACGCAGCACGTGACAGAGGGGATGTTACATTAGAAACGGTGGTCAGAGAAGGCCCCTGCAAGGCTGTGCCATTTGACAATGATCTGAATGAAGAGAGGAAGAATATCTGGGGGAAGAATGTCCCAGGCATTGGGAACAGCACATGCGAAGGCTTGAAGGGGGACACGTTGGGGGGAGTCTGGGAGCAGCTGGGAAGCCAGAGTGGCTGGAGCACTGGAAGCGGGGAGCGGAGAATGCTGGAGGACCTCGGTGTGGGGCCCCGCAGGAGCTTGGAGCAAGGGGTAGTGTGGTCTGAGGACTCTCTGGCTGCCATGTGGAAGTAAACTAGGGCCAAGGGCCAGAGCTAGAGACCTCCCAGCCCCCAAGCCCTGCGTGCTCCATGCCTTGAGGCTTGCCCACCCAGGTTGCCCACCCTCCCATAATTATGGCCCAGTCATTCTTTGACCCAGAACCCTCCGTGTGCTCAGAATGGAGCCCTTGTTCTTTAGGACAGGCAGCTTCCTAAAGACAGCCAGGTCGCCCCCAGGGACAGTTCATAACGAGGGGGCTCTGGGCATCTGAAATGGAACCACCAGAGGGCGGACCCAGTGGAAGAGCAAAGCCCCTTCAAACGGCACAGAAGAGCAGGGGCTTGGTGGTCCGCCTCCCACCCCAGGCAGGTCCCTGTCAGCTCAGAGCCTGGGTTGCCTCAGCTGCAAAGCTACCAACACCCACAGTTGTGCCACATGATGGGAAAGAAGGCAGCTCATTCTTCAGGGGGCAGAAACAGGCTCCAAGAGGTGAGGGACGGCTCGCAGTCACCGGCAGGAAGGGGTAGTGCCCCCATCCTCACCGCCAGGTTCCTGGCATCCTCCTCGTGTTCCTGGTGCACCTGGGGTGCCTCAGCTCAGCTCAGCCAAGTGCCTGGAGCAGCAGCATGGAGGGGGGCAGTCGCCACCGTATCAGGAGAGCTTCGAACAGGCCAGTGGATAGGAGAGGGAGCAGAAAGGAGTCGGGTCCCTACTAGGCTCCAGCCCTGGGATGGACACAGGGTGCGGGGGCAGGCAAGAAAGAGAGAAGGGGGCCCCATGTTCCTCTCCGGCCCCCACTGACTTGCTGTGGGCCCAGGGCAGCCCTTGGCCTCTGCGGCCTCTGTGGCCTCTGCATCCTCATCTGTCAGATGGGCCCCCATCCCCCTGGCCCCAACGAGGATGGCGAGGATCAGGCGAGGTGCGGGCTGTGCACGCACTGGGGATGGTTAGTGGCTTGGGGCTCCTTCTGAGTTCCAGGCCTTCGCACCTCTTACAAAATAATCCAACACGATGGATTTGGGCAACAGGCAGTGCTGCAAAAGAGAGAGAGACCAGAGCAGGAGAGATAGAGAGATGGCAGAGAGGGAGATGGCCGTGGCAGAGGTCAGGTCTGGCTTCCTGGAAGGAGCTGTAGTTGTCTGTATTATCGGGGGCGGATGGGATTTGCACAGGCCAATAGGTATGGGAGGGCCCCATACAGAAGGACCAGCACAAATAAAGGCATTCAGAAGGAAATCGGCGTGCAGAGCAGGAAACAAGATGTCAGCCCCCTGGCTGGTGAGGCAGGGTGAGCAGGCCTGGGTAGGATCCTGGGAGCCCCAGCTCCTAGGCCAGAGTTCCAAGTCTCACTTCCAGCCCTCCCAGCCTCGGGTTTCAGTTCCTGGTTTCCACCTCTGGCCTCTGGTCATGCCCTGCCCTTCCCTGCAGCACTATCCCGGGTATCTTTGTGGGCTGGTCACTGTCCAGAATATGTGGCACAGTTTCCTCTGGGAAGCCCTCCCTGAACCCCAGGCTAGGTCAGACCACTCCTGTCCCTGGGAATAGTACATTCAGTTCCAAGGGGAAGGGACTATTATCACACCCATTTTATAGAGGAAGAAACAGGCTCAGAGAAAGGTCGCAGGGCCCAGGACTGCACAGCTGGTGCTGGAGCTGGAATTCTAACTCAGAGAGAGGCCTGGCTCCCGTGAGCTCCTCCATTCCCTCCCCGCCCCACCCTGTGTGCCGGCCGCCTCTGCCTCCTTCGGTCCCTGCTAGGAGGCTGCTGGTTCTGTGCTATCAGCACCACCTCACTGGGAAGGAAGCTGAAGCCCAGAGAAGGGCTGGGACTCGCCTGCCACCACCACACAGGCAGGAGGTGGCTGAGCAGATTGAAGTAGGAGTGGCTGACCCCACTCCTCCCACAACTGGTCTCAGAAGGTGCAAACAGGACAGGGACGCAGGTGAGCAAAACGGAGAGGCCAGGCCTGAGGCCCAGCGACCAGGCATCAGGCTGGAAATGGTGGTGGGACACGGCAGGAGGCAGGGGAACCAGCCGTGGAGGGTGGATCGGGACAGTGGCAAGGTCAGAGAGGCACGGGGACAGCAAGATGGCAGCCGTCACCGGGGTCCAAGCACCCCCACCTGTCCGGGCTAGGCCCAGGTACCTGCCCTCAGGGATGGTGCTGACCGTGGTGGTCACAGGCCTCTCTTTCCTTGCAGTTAGAGGGCTGGTCCCCAGCGGCAAGCACTGGAGACAGCGTGGTCACGCGGGAAGTCACCCAGTGTGGGCCCAGTGCCCTGGTCCACGTCACACACTTGCCCTGCTCACAGGACGGAAGCCTCGAGGCCCTTCCACGCGGCACTGTCGTCAGCCAGAGGAATCACATGGGGGACGGCAGCGGAGCCATGGCGCCTGCTGGAAGTCTCCCCGCCTCTGCCCCACCCCTCGGGATCCTGCCACAGCTCTTGGAAAACAACCGAGGAAATCAAGTGGAAACACAAATCCGCCACCCAGCCTCCTGCTTCCTGGGGCCGGACCCCCGCCCCCAGGGCACCCAGGAGGGGGCTCTGCCATGCCCCAGTCCAGCATGGTTTGCCTTGGCAAGGCCCAGTGGGCATGATTCTCCCTCCTGGGCTCCAAGCAGCTGGGCCTGTCACCCCATCTGGTCCCACAAAGCCAGCCCCTCCCCAGGAGGACGTGGGGCACCCAAGCTTGACCCCTCCCTCCCTTCCCCTGCACACACTAGGCTCTGGGAGTCAGGGCCAGGGAAATTCCAGGCGTGGCTCTGCCAGAGACTAGCTGGTCACCCTGGGCAAGTCCCTTCCTCTCTATGGGCCTCAGCTTTGTCATAGGTAAAATGGGGGCAAGAAACCTGCCCAGCCCCACCTCACAGGGCTGGTAAAGGAAAGCACGTGTACACTGAAAAGGGCTGGGCCCACATTGCCACTTCGGTCTTTACAGGGAGGAGCTGCCTCCTCACCTGGGGGAGTCAGCTTCATGCAGGGGATGTGAATTACGGGCAGTAGGGGGTCCCTGAGGGTGCTCCCTTCTGAGGGAGCTTGGCCCACCTCCCACCTTGCTAGCCTCGCCACCCTCCACCAGCACTGGCCACCCCACACCTCCCGGCCCCTCTTACAACTCCATGGACAGGCTGCCTCCCCTGCCTGCGGTGTCTCTCCTCCGCAGAACGCCTGGGTCTCCACGACCCAGATCGGCCCTCTCTCCTCCATGAGGCTTCCTGATTCTGGCTAAACGAGCAGCAGCCGCTGCCCCCTCATGCGTCCCACAGAATGGAAGGTGTCGGGTGTGTGCCATCATCCATCTTAGTGTCCCAGTAAGTGTGCAAGCTCCACACGGGCAGGCCTGTCCTGGAGCCCCTGCCCACACTCAGCGGAGCTCAACAGGCGTGATGGCGCAGGCGTGTGTGTGGGTGCCGGAAGAGCTGGCTCGCGTGACCCGCGGCAACCTGGGAAGATGCGGTGCACCTCCGTTCTCCACTCAGGGCCCCCTCCCATCCCCAAGACCCAGACCCCGGGCTCTCCTGGGCCCACCCAGCCTCCGGGAGCAGCTCCGCTCTGCTGACAGATTCAAGGGCAGCTAATCCCCTGCCTGGGAACAGCTGTGAGTTTCTAGGAGGAAGATAAGGTGGAATTTCAGGAGGTGGGCTGGGGAGCTGGCGGTGATGGAAGATGAGGGCACACCAGCCAGTTAGAAGGTGGGCAGAATCCTCTGGACTTCAGACTGAGGGGGCTGGAATACCAGGGTGGGGACAACGGATGTGAGCCATGTTCTGAGGGAAAAACTGTCGGGGCTGATGATTGGGGGATAAAGGGGCGGATGAGTCAAAAATGACTCCAGATCTTCACGCCTGGGTCACTGGAGAACAGTGGAGCATTGATGGCGCAGGGCAGCGTGGTGGGGGCTGGTCTGGGGGCAGAAAGGACCCGGTTAGGGACATGGACTCACAGCGTTTTCGAGCTGGAAGCGACCTCAGAGATCACTCAGGTCAGACA